ATAAATTTAAAGCAGAAACATCGATCATACCCTGTGGTCGGAAATTAGAATGAAAATTGCACGAGTACAGAATGAACGTTAGAACGGAAAAACGCGGGGGTGGGGGTGGGGGTAATGGCGTCAGTAAACATAATTTAATCGCTTCCATTAATACGTTCCGACCACGTCGACTAATTAGTCGCTCTAAATTCACGATGAGCAAATCGCGTCGGTTAAAGCAATCGAGAGCAATCCACTCTGGTGTGTGTACGGGAAATAACTGTTCGACGACACTGTTGCATCTCTCATTTATCTTTCAAGGCACGTCGAAAAATCTTGGCACCTACTCTGTGGCAAAGGGTCAAACGATAAAGTGCCTCGTTTAATTCAATTCAATCCACCTGTGGTACCTCTCTCTCTTTCTCTCTCATGATTATTAGATAAATATAACCTAGTTCAATCTATAAGCTGCAATTCTAAATAAATCCAACCACGATAGAATACAAAACGTACAACGACGTTTCATTTGTCCTTAAAATTAGCCACTCGATAAATCTTCGAAATATTCAACATTCGAATTACGCGCCTGTACGTGTGCGCATGCGCGTGTCTACCTGTGTGTGCAACTTGAAAAATCTAACCCAGACCTAATTCTAGACCTATTTCCTCGTTCCCTTATCGATCAATTAACGAACAATAAACTGCAACTGCCAGACAATATACTTCATATGATAATAGACACTGGTGATATTAATATTCTGCATTGGAAAAACATGGAGTGAACGTAAAAAAATTTTTTTAATAATAGATATGAGTGGACGAGAAAAGATAAGAATGGAAATGACTGTTACTTCACTAAATATAGTGTGAATTGATATATGCAATTGAAAAAGAATGGGAATGACTGTTATTTTACTAAGTACAGTGTGAATTGATATAATTGGAAAAGAGTGGAAATAACTGTTACTTTACTAAATACAGCGTGAAATGGTATAATTGAGAAAGAATGGAAACGACTGTTATTTTACTAAATACGAAGCTTATTCTTTTTTTTTCTTCATACTTATACGGTAGTTCGTTTGCTA